TATATATGGAATAAATGTATTTTCCATATCTTTTGAAAGAGTAGTGTTGATGAAAGATTGATAAGATGCCCCTATGGGATAGGGGCAGGTACTATTTGATACTTCAGGTTTTAGTGTAAATTGTTGGCAAAATACAAAAAGAAAATCTATATGTAACTGCCTTGTCATAGAACTTTTGTTATTATTAATATTGCTTTGTTCTTCTCTTAGAATTCTCTGAGATCCTAATTCTTTCCTTGGTATGTTTGCTTCCCTCATCAGTTAATGTTCATTGAGTTTTCCATTGGTTACATGATGGGTATGAATAGTGGCTCTTCTCTCTACTTCACTACATCCTGGGACAGTGTAGTTTTGGATGTCAGTTCTTGGTGGTGGAGAGATGAACTGAAATACTCATGTATAGATAGATAGTACACATGACAGTTCCACCTTGCATTGCTATTGATTCTCTTTGTCCCCTTTTTCCAATCTGTGGACCATATCACAGGATTCCAAGACAGTTCAACTAAAGTCTCACACAAATTTCTCTCTCCTTTCAAGCTCATCCTTGTCTTGCAGTCCTTTGTAAGTGCCAACAGTCTGCCAATCTTCCTGGTAACTTTTGATAATATTACAGGTTCTATCTTGAATAGTATTGTAGTGGGTTGCCTTCACATTAGGCCATTGCAAATGAATATGGGTTGTTAATATGGGTTGATACCATCAAATGAGATGCAGCCACAGGTATTGGCCTCAACTGGAACTAAAAGGGTTGGCGGTTCAATAACAAAATAGATCTTCCCAAATCTCTTTCACCTGCTGCCTGATGGAAAATTGTCCAGTTTCCTTTTGAAAATGAATGACTCCCAGGGAAATGTCTTGCTGTTCTGTCCTAATGCCCTCTTGATCCTGGTGGTTTAACTTCCCATCAGAATCCAAGTGTAAAAACAAAGTAAATAGAACAGATACCTCTGCTCTTCAGTGCCTGCTTTGAGGAGCAGAGTGAGACGGATGCAGACATTGGATCCTACTGTACTCAGTGCCACTGGGCGCTTCTTTCCTTGCCAGCTCACTGTAATTAAAGAAGAGAGACATCAACGTGCAGCCAGATCCGAGGTGCTGTCCAGTTGAAAAGGTCACTGCCGCAAATGAGCAATTAGTGTTCCCTGCTGCCGCGGAGGGTTTGGCTTCAGAAAGAGCCACAGAAGCACAATGCCCGGATAAACCAGTTTTATAATCTGCTTGTCACAAGCCCAGTCATCAGGGTTCTGCCCTGAATCGGACAGGATAATGCTGTCCAGATGAGAAAAAAAATCAGATTTTTAAAATACGACCGTCAACAGAATAGAGTAGGCGAACATTTCATCTGTAAGCAGCAAGGTTGTGTTGGACAAAGCATGGGGGCTGTGGCTGGGAAGAAGCCTCATTATAAGCTTTAAATATTTGGGAGCTGTTTTCTCTGGCAGCCTCAGAGCTCGGCAAAAAGCTTTGTTGCCTACTGAATGAGGATTGGAAAAAAATGGTTACGAATGCCAGGGTTAAATTGACTGTGCTATTAGCACTTTCTCTAAGAATCAGTTGCTTTATTATAGATTGCTCTTAAGAGTGTTTCATTTAAAACCCCAAGCCTCTGGGTGGGGTACTGAATAGGGGTCAAACGGGAGTGGCTACAGGAGTGGAGGGGAGCTTGCAGGTGGGAGTGGTTAGCTAGTGAAGAGGATCAAGTGGTGGAAGGAGGGGCTGAACAAGGAGGAGGGAGAGGAGGAACATTTCCCCAAACTGCTCTGGGCTCACAAGGTTGGGCTTGCCCCAGCCCTCCCACCTTTGCCAAGCCCAGAGTGCACCAAGAAGACAGGACTTTCAAGAGGTCCCTGGAGCCAGTAGTTTGACCTTGAACACAGGCGACACTCTCTGGCAGAAACTTCATTGTTTTGCCCAATACAGTCAAATCCAGAAAAAGAAAGAAGATAATTCTCATCTGATCAGCCCCAAAGGTAAAATTTTGTTTTATGTTATAAACAAAGCCCTGAAATTGCCATTGACAAGAGAGGTTCCAAATAGTGAATCATCTAAGGTTTTGACACATGGATCAAGATTTTCTCCTTTGTGTTGTATGGTAAGATTTCAGATTGTAAGGTGAGATGCTCAAGCTCCCTTTGTTTAATAAAGAGGAGGAGGCAGCTGCCTCTTCACATCCTCTCCTCTTAGGGTGTCTCCTTGGAACCATAATAGGTCCTCTTACATATGCTCAGAATTTTAATTTTACCATGCAAGTTCATGATCTTTCTGAGGCTTAACCCTGTAAATGCACACCTGCAAGATTAATTTAAAAGTTACTCACAGGCATACAGGAAACTATTTCAGGAAAGAATGTTTTGTTCGTCCTTCTGCTTCTCTGTATATAATCATATGAAATTCTGCCTTGACTTTGCCCAGATTTTCAGGCATGTACATCTACAGTGCCTATGTTTTCTGTTGTCCATGTTGGTGCTCAGGTGTCCTGTTGGCAGGGTTGTTTTGCTTTCCTGAAAGTGGTCAAGAGGTGCCAGAGCATGAGTGAATGCGGTCTAAGAAGTCAACTTAGTGATTTCTACCAGTGCACTCTGCTCTGCCCGTTCCTGAGTAGCATGAAGTTCAAGGGCACCATCACTCGGTCAGCTTCCAACTCTCAAAAATATATTTTCCCAATGCATGCAGGTTTTCAAGTTCTGTTTATCTGTTCTTATGCAACTTGTCTGAGCCCCCATGGAGGCAGAGATGGCAGTTGGGGTGCTAACTTCTTGGCACTAAAAGCTGCTTTTCTTTACAGAAGCTCAACTTATTTCACTGAAGCATTTTGTTGTCAACCCCTGAGTTGACAGCATAGTTACTATCACTCTTTCAACAGAAACTACATTTATAAGCTTGTAATTAGAGTTTAATGTTTGATATTTACACAGAGCTTTACAAAGCTCAAAGCATTCCACAAAAGGAAAAGGAAAGTAAACAAAATAAAACAAAAAATGTTAGAACAAGGGTATAGAGTGGTGGGAGGTTATGTTAAACCTAGAGGATATATATTGTGTGTGTGTGTGTGCACGCGCACGTGCGCATGTGAATAGGACTCTCTTCCATTTCAATGATTTACAAGAACTTTTTAGCCAATCATTGAAATATTTCCAGGGAATATTCTAGTATTTTACTGGTTAATTATTAATTCTTCATTTTTGCAAAATTATTAATTTCATTACTCAAGTAGTATCACTACTTCCAAGTTATACTGAGTGTAGATTAATAAGGCTTAGAAATTTTGACCGTAGAATCTATTATATTCATCAAACCCCTTTTTGTTTAGGATTCTCTTTCTCTCCCTTTCTTTCATATATATTCAACGTGTTTTAATATTGAATTCATAATAGTACAAGAATATTTTATCAATATTTCTCATACTGATAAAGGCAATTCCCCTGACCCCTGATTCATTTCTAATCCAAATTCCCTCTGTACTAATACTCATTATTTCCAAATCGTTATGTATCCTTTAGGTATACTTTCTTTGAATGTGTGTGTGTTATGTGATGGTGTGCACAAAGAAAATATTTAATTTGTTTCTGAATTATTAAAAAAAAGAATAATGATAGCTGACATTTCTTGAGTTCTTTTTATGTGGCAGGCACTGCATGTTAAATTAAACCCCCACAACAATACTATGTAATAAAGCATGATTTGTGTCCTCATCTTGTTTATTTTTAAAATTTTTATTGGCATGTACTTGCAGTACATAATGATTACATTTATCATGGGGAATCAGTACATATACATAACACATCTTATGAGAAAACTGGAAATGTAGAACAGGTAGGCAACCTCTCTGGGGTTTTATAGTCAGCGAGTGGCAGAGCCAGGATCACACCCAGGCTGATACTTCCAGCCACCAAGCCCTAGTGCTCTTTATGTGAATTGCATCCTTCAGTGGGAAATGTACTCTGTGCAACCAACAGTATGACTGGGAGCTTTCAAAAATACTAGTGCTTCCCAGATTGTCTCACTCATTTAAGTTTCTGTTATCACTCTACATTTTATGGATGAGCTTTGCTGCATTTTATTTAGCTTAACACTCTACTTATTATTAGTTTATTTTTCTTTCATTTCAATTTCCAAATTTTTTGTTGTGGTAAAAATACACATAAAACTTACTATATTTCATTTTATTGTAGAGTTCAGTGATGTCAGCCACATTCATAAGGTTGTTCTGACATCATTGCCATTCATATACATAACACTTTTCATCCTGTAAAATGAAATCCCTATATCATTTAAATGGCTTCCAATGGGCCGGGAATTTAGCTCAGTGGTTCCGGCACCTGCCTTGCAAGTTCAGGGACCTGAGTTCAATCCCTGGTACCAAAAAAAAGAAAAAATAATAAAAATAAATAAATAAATAGCTTCCATTCCTTCCTGATTCCAGCTCCTGGCAACCTCCTTTCTACTTGCTGTTTCTAAGAGCTGGACTGCTTTGGGTACTTCATAAAATACCTAACTGGCTCATTTCACTTAGTGTGTTGCTTTGAAGATTCAGTTATGTTACGCAATATGTCAGAATTTCCTTTCTTTTAAAAGCTGAGTAGTATTCCATTGGATGTATACATCACATTTTGCTGATTCATTCATTATTGATAGATAATTGGGTTGCTTTCACATTTGAGCTATTATGAATAATGATGCTGTCACTATGGGTATAGAAATATATCTTCAAAACTCTACTTTCAGTTTTCTTATGTGCATATCAGAAGTGAAATTGCTGGATCATATAGTATTTGTACTGTTAATATTTTAAGAAGTCACCATATTGTTTTACACTGTGGATTTGTACCATTTTATGATCTCATTGATGGAACACAACATCTCTAATTTCTTCTAATGGGTGTGAGGCCGTATTTTGTACCTTTTATTTTTATTTCCATAATAAATGGTGATATTGAGCATCTTTAAAAGTACTTATAGGTCGTTTATATGTCATCTTTGCAGAAACGTTTATTTACTTCCTTTGCTCATTTTTGAATTGGGGTGTTTATTCTGGTTGAGTTTTTGTTCTCTGTATATTCTATATATCAATCCCTTTGTATCCTGCTTCTTCTTGAATTCTAATAATCCTTTATTTGTGGTCTCTGTAGAGTTTTCTATATGTAAGATAATATCTGAAACAGAGATAATTTTCATTCTTCTTTTAAATTTAGATTCTTTTATTTCTTTTTCTTGTCTAATTGCTCTGGGTGGAACTTTCAGTGCTTATATTGTCTCTGGCTTTGTTAACAGGGTAATGTTGGACTCCAGAATGAGTTAGAAAGTATTCTCTCTTAATTAAATTTTTGACAAAAATAAGAATTGAAAAATGTTTGATAGAATTTACCAGTGAAGCTATCAGATCCTGGGCTTTTCTTGGTTGGGAGAGTTTTGATTGATCAATTTCCTTATAATAAACTTATTCTGATTTTCTATTTATTCATGATTTAGTCTTGGTAGGTTTTATATTTCTAGGAATTTGTCCACTTAATGTATGTAAATTTGTCCAATTTATTAGTATGCAATTGTTCATAGTACTCTTATAATTCTTTTCTATTTCTGTAGAAATAAAATATCAGTGGTAATATCTTTATTTTCATTCTTGATTTTAGTAATTTGAGTCTGTCCTTTTTCTTAGCCCATTTCATAAAATATTTGTCAATTTTATTGATCTTTTCAAATAACCAACTTTTTGTTTCTTTGACTTTATGGTTTTTAAGTCTTTTTATTTTTTCATTTCTGCTCTAATCTTTACTTCTGTCCTTCTTCCAGCTTTAGGTTTAATTTCTTTCTCCTTCTCTTTCCTTAAATTGCAAAGTTAGGTATTTGATTAGAGATTTTGACTGCTTTTTTATATAAGTGCTCATAGGTATAAATTCCACCACTAGTGCTGCATTCTCTGCATCCCATAAATTTTGGTGTGCTGGGTTTTCATTTTCATTCATTTCTACAAATTTTAAAAAATATTTCATAGTATTTTCTTTGAGCTATTGGTTAACAATGTGTTACTTAATTTTTACAGTTTTGTGAATTTTGTATTTTTACCTCTGTTACTGGTTTCTAGTTTTATCTCACTGTGTTCAGAAAAGATATTTTGAATAATACCTGTCTTTTCAAATGTATTGGAATGTGATTCATGACCTCATATGTAGTCTATTCTGGAAAATGTTTCGTGTGCACTCGAGAAGAATGTACACAGTGTTGTTGGGAAGACTCTTCAATATATGTCCTTTAGATATAATGACTTTATTGTATTGTTTAAGTCTCTATTTTCTTGGCTATTTTCTCTCTGGTTGTTCTGTGCATTGTTGAGAGTGGGATGCTGCTATTTTCTTTATAATTATATCAGTTTTTGCTTTATGTATTTTAAAGTTAGGTATATAAATGCTTATAATTGATATATTCTTGCTGTTTCAAAACTTTTATTAATATATATGTTTTTCTTGGTCTGTTATAAACTACTAAAAGTTAATGTCTATTTTGTCTGATATTAGTTAGCTGATTTTGGTCTCTTGCTTACTATTTGCATGGAATATATTTTTCCATTCTTTCAATTTCTATCTGTTTTGTGTCAGGATCTAAAGTGGTTCTCTTATAAATAGCATATAGTTGTGTTATGTTTTTAAATCCCTTCTTTCAATCACTGTCATTTCTTTTTTAATGAAATTTTTTCTTGGTACATTGTAGGTATACAACACAATTACATTTCTCATTGGGAATTGTACCTTTACATAATGCATCTTGG